AGAGGCACTTCAGTTGGGCTGTTGGCCACATCACCTTCTTAATGGAACAGCCGTTAATTCTCTTGAAGTGTTCTATGGATGTTTTCTACTACCTCAGGAGCCCCTGGTTCATCACAGTAAGAATTTAACTGTGTTGCCACATCCTCAGAGTAACTGGTTGCAGGTCTTCAGTAGCACCCTGTCCCTCTAACCTTGGTGTGTCATCCCATAGCCTGTCACAGACAAGCCCGGTGTTGTTATCCCCTTCCCCCTTCGTAACTAGTTTAAATCCCTGTCAATCAGCCCTGAAATCTCTTGGGCAAAGCTCCCCTCTTTGGGAAAGGTGACTCCCATTTGAGGCTGGCAAGCCTAGTGCTGTGTAGGCCATCCCATTGTCAAAGAACCAAGGTTTCCCATGTTCCTAAACATTTAAGTATGAAAAACATTTAACGGTTACCAGAGAGAGTCTTCTGAGTGAGGCTTTACAATAGTTTCCTATATGAAAAATAAAAATTAAGATCAAAGAGCATGCTTGAGAGAGATGTTGAATTTTAGAAATTTCAACTCACCTCTCCTTAAGTTACTTGATATTTGGATTTCGGCTTACCATCCTTTCAGCTGCCACTATGGTGTATTTGTGTTTCCTTTCTTCAGCATGGCAGATGATTGTTGCTGTTGTGGTTTATTAGGGGTGATAGATTATCTGATCACCTGCATAATTATAGTATTATAATCAGATAGTATTATAATATTAATAGGAAAAGATTGACTATTTCTAGGTATGACTGAAAAATTTCTTGGTTTATCCAAAACCTTGCGCTTCTTCAGCTTTGATCAGCTTTACTTTGTCTCTTCATACATAATATTCATTATTGTGACCTAAATTGAAAAGTATACAAATACATTTTGTTTTGTTTTTTATAAAAAAGGCAAAACAGCAAGTCAACCAATTTCCCCTCCCACCCCAACCTGAAGAAGTACTGAGTGGAGTCCTTGCTTTGTCTATATGAAGATGAAATGTGTTTCATAAGCTGACTTTTGCATGTGTTCACAAACCACTGTTGTTGGAGAATGTTACTTGTTTGAAGGAAGGATGTTGATAACTCTTTTGCATATAGCCTACAGAAGTAGGGAGGGAGGCGGAGGTGGAATGGTGGAGGTAAAGAAAGCCCACATGTGCAGTCTTTTCAGATTCTTCCAAAACCATCGCATGTGTGAGTTTACCTTTACACTGAGCTGCTCACGGTTTTTTGTTTGCACACTACGTGCATAGCACCATGTGTCTTGCTGTACCCCTTACTTGACTAACTTGCATTTTTGTAACACTCTTGACACAAAACAGGCAAAAAGACAAAAACATTAGCATTGTTGCTGATGAAACGTACCTGCTTAGCTGCTTGAGTCTGCTGATTTTGTTGCTATGCTAGAGATTTTCCTCAAGATCCTACTGCTGCTCTGCGTTTGATGTGCCCTGTGGGGAATTACTCAGAATGTTACATATCTGGGCATCTCTGACATGAGAGGAAACATTCATTTGTACCATCTGAAGTAGTGACAGTAACAGCACTGAAATCTCCCAGGGGCTATTTGGTAAATGGTGCCATGCTACTTGGGTGAAATGTGAAAGTTGAATCAGTGGGTGTAGGTAAAAGGAAGTGGAGAGTGTGGAGGAGCTTTGAGATAGAGATGGCAGAATGGGGTACTGGGGCAGCTGAGGAAGTACAAGAAATTTCATTTCGCTCCTGGAAAACCAGAGGATACACGCAGTTTTCCTTCATCTCTATGCAGCAGAGTTGTGTTCATTTATGAACTATAATAGCTGTGTTCTACTTAAAATGCTTAAAAGCCATCATGCTGTATTGCTCATGTGAAAGTTATGCATCTCTTCATAAAAGCAATAAAGATTCCATTCTAGGGCATCAATAAATATGTCATTATTGTAGATGAAATGTCAATTTTATATTCAAGCTCTCTCAAATTTATACACATTTAACTATAATGCAACTTACATAAATCAATTTATAGACCTTAATTTATTTTCATAGTGAAATTAGGGATAAATCTGTCCACAAAGAAGAAACAAATATGCAAGCATCAACTGTTGCTCTAGCATTCCTCTGATAGGATTGAACTGTTTTTTGATTCCCTGCTGTGTTCAAAACAGCAGAATTGTACAATGCATTCCAGAAGTTAAAGGTACAGCTAATAAAATAAATGGCAGGCAATGGACTCTCAAAAACATCCATCCGAATAGGAAATCGTAGTCCTACTGCCCGTACTCTTCAGGGAAAAAAATCTAGAAGGAAAGAGAATACATATGACACCCAGAAAGCCATTCTATCTAGGACTTTGCAAGCAAGTAGAAGGCACTTAAGTCAATAAGTCTCTTACAGTGCTTCTTGTAATCAAAAAATTATACAGCCACTACTGCTCAGAGCAGATCAAAAAGTACAGATCTCTCAACAGAGGCAGTGACTGTTGCTATAGCATCAGTAAGGAAATCTGAAAATGTGCAATTGGAAGAACTAATGTAAGCAGATTAGGTTTGTGGCAGTCTTTAAAATTATTCATTCCTTTAACAATGATTTGAGTCACGGTGCTTAGAAGAAGAGTCATCATTAAATGTTTCTTTGCTTTTGTGCGTGTGTAAAAGTGTGTATTTTTGTTACCCAAAGTGGTGTAATTGAAAACTACAGTAAAGATGAATTAAAGTCTCTTGTAAGAGACTAATACCATATGTCATAACATGTTTTACTGTTAGCACAAATGTGGCATCATTCTGCAACAACAGAATCACTTTCAGAACTCTTAAGTTCAAGAAGGCCAAGTGCAAGGTCCTGGATTTGGGTTGGGGCAATCCGCATTATCAATACAGGCCGGGAGATGAGGTGTATGAGAAGTAAACTGGTTATTTAAAGTAATGAGAAAATCTTAGATTACGCACTGTGGGTTTTTTTCAAAGCACTGGTTAGTACTGTCTTAGATATGTGAGAGTATATGAGGGATGTGTCGATTACCGTGTTACCTGCCATCTCCTTGCTTTTCCAAGATTTAAAACAAAGAAGCATAAACAACAACAAAAAAAGAAACAAAAGAAAGTACAGGAGTTAGGCACTACCAATGCTTTACAATCATCCGGGTGATTTGTGGGTAAGGATGATTCATCAATTATCCTGTATTTAAATATCTTGTACAACTGAATAATAAAATCCTCAGAAACAGGTCAGATTACAAAAAAAAAAGACATAACATGGTGTCAAAAAAATGGTGTTAACTTTAAAGGATTTTATTTACAAGGAAGATGCATTTTTTTAGCATCTGTTTTTAATAACAGACACTCTTTAAAGCATGGAATTCCTCATATGAAGAATCTGCAACAAGTTTAATTTTAGGTGGAGCTTGGGGCTCGGCTGGGCACACATTGTCATGGAGTCTAAATATTCCTAGCGGAAACAAATTTTTTTTTTGCTGATATAATTAATGCTTTAGAGTCTACAGAGGGCTATAAGAGTGAAGAGTATAACCTACTTAATGTGCATTTACCCACCAGTCATACCTCTGCCAGAACAGACTGCAATTGCTTTTTGTCTTCTGAGTGCCACTTCCTTTGACAGAGCTGCCATTCATACCCCCGGTTCCACTGGTCTTTCAACATCTCTGTACTCTGCTGCTCAGGCTATATTCTCCCTATTGTTTTTTTGTTTGGTGGTTTTTTGGTGGTTTTGGTGGGGTTTTTTTAAGAACAACTAGTAACCTGGAACACTTTCCCATGGATTTAGTTAATATCAGTATGCATCTCTACACTTTTCCTCACAAGTCCGGTCAGAGAAACGTCAAATTTTTTGTTCAACTGGGGGCAAAAAAATCTCCGCAGAGCATCAGACCCAGGTGATATGTTTTTTGTTTTTTTTTTAAAGCTATGTATTTCTCAAGGAGTGTATTAATATAAATTTAGTAATTCCAAAAGTTGTGTGGCAATGCCGCAGATGCGCTGACAGCTGTCAAAGAGAAAGCCATGGTTTGTTGAAGATAACTCTCCTGACTGTAGCAAGGTGCTAATGCTAATCCAAATGCAGATTTTAATTGCACCATATTGCTCTTTCTGAAGACTGAAAGCATGTTGTTGTTTGTCCAGACTACAGGGCATGGGTGCAACTTTCAGTCCGTTTCCAGAACTTGGGATACAGGAGGTTAACTGTCCTGTTTTCTTGGTATCTTGCTAGATCCAGCTTGGAGATCTGGTAGAGGAAATGGGCCATGTCCTGAGAGTTCAGAGGGGTAGGGAAAATCATCACATTAGGAAGTAGTGTTCTTTCCCTGATTCAACTGATAAGCAGAAGCAGAAAGAGGTAGTGGCTTAAGTTTGGAAAGATTTAAATGCTTAAGTTTGGAAAGATTTCAATGTAGAGTGGTTATCTTTTCCTTCAGTAGCACTAGGGATGTGCCATCTATCTGAGTGGATGATTGTTTGTTTTAAAGACAAATGTGGGGGATAAAAGCTCCGTAAAGCTAGCTGCAGTCTGCAAAGGGCAGTCTCTTAGCCTGTTACTCTGTATAAAGTTTGAGCTGGGAAAAGCCTTAAACATGGAAAGTTTTGGCTGGCTTCTGTTGTTAGGGTGGGGTGTGAATCAGCTGAGGTATTTCATTGCATATTCACATGATTTTTGTGACAAAGGTGCAATGGGCCCAGTGCAGCTCAAAAATAGAAACCAGAACTAGATAAATGAAGAACTGTTTTATATAGAGTAAGAACAAATGGATTTTTTTTCCTGCACTACTCTTCTACAGTTAGAGGTCATCTCCAGTGATCTCTTATGCCCTTGCTGGAGCCATTAAGTCCTTGGGACCCTGTTCTGTATAGCTTGCAAATTACTTTTATGTGGCTTTCTTTGTGCCATTTGTTTGGTCTAGGCTTTGTTTCACCTTTCAATGGTGATAAATACATGCAAGATCATTCAGGAGAATCTGGACACAGTGTTGGTACTAATAATATTTCTTTCTTCTTTTTTCATTTACTCCAGACCAACGAGTGGAATAAGAATGATGATCGGCTGCTGCAAGCAGTGGAGAATGGTGATCCTGAGAAAGTGGCTTCATTGCTGGGTAAAAAGGGAGCCAGTGCCACCAAGCAAGATAGCGAGGGCAAGACTGCGTAAGTCCAACCTAAACTTGTGGTTTAAGGACAAGGGGAGGGGAAAATGAGATAAGAACGAGAGACCACCCTGAAAATGAAGCTTTATTTTTCTTCTGAAGGACACCACATTCTGGAAAGCTCATTTCTGGTAGTCTGTGTTTGTAATTCAACATTTAAAATGCCGTTTCAGAATCACAAACCCATTAAGGTTACTCGAAGCTGGATTGCTGGGTGGATTGGGGCCATTGTCGGACAGAGTATTTTGGGACTTGGTAGTTTCACAGCACCCTGCAGATTGGGCACTCCAAAATGCTTTGGGGCCATTCTTTTCCCTTGGACATTAGTTTAATGACATAGAAATTAAAATAAATTTTCTTTCTAATGAGTTAGTTTCAACTGAAACTATAGTGACTGAGTTTTTAAATCTTGCAGATGCTAATGATTAGTGCAAGTGTTCCTAGTTTTGATTGAAGTTTGGCACTGAAGGTTTTGTGTGCACAGATTCCTTTTGCAGTCTATATATTTCATATATAGAGCATCTTCTTCTTCTATTCTTCCTCTTGTTCCCCTGTGAACATTCTGAATTGTGGAAGACAAAAAGATTCCAGTAAGAAAATTACAGCCAAGAGATAGCTATTCTTAAACTTCCTTTCTTATGACATAGAAAGATGGTAAAATGTATAAATAAGAAATAGACATTCTGTGACAGAACTGAAGCCTTCACAAAATTCTGGATAAATGGGGAGAAAAGAAAACAATTTCTAGCCTTGGGAGAGTCAGCACAAGGCAGTTTATAACAAATAATAAGTTCTAATGAATTACCTCTGGGTTACATTTATTGAGTCATGCTCTGCTTCTTGCTTGGTCTGTTTTAGTTTCCTACATCTGCTTTATTTCTGTTTCGCATCTGAGGAAACTGAATGATGGCAGTGACTCATAATGACCTGCAACTTCTTGCTGCAGAAGTCTAAGCCCTCTAATTAATTCAAGTGGGCTTTCTCCACACTTTAATATGTTTTTAATTTTTAAAAAAGTTACATACAAGTGTTTTTCTTTTTAACAAAATCAAAGCAGGACTTCCATTGGATCTTGTGAATTACAGCTATACTTATCATCTCATGTTTTTTACAGTCAATGTAACTTCAGAGCTAGATTCTTAAGCTGCACTGTAACTAGTGTAACACCTATTTTGCAAGTTTCGTATATAATTTGATACTATGAATTTTTCTGGGGAACCAAACAAGACTGAAATTATCAATTAGTACATACAAGCCTCTTAACTGTAAGAAATATGATTGTGACTATAGAGGTCTGGTGCGATGATTTTCAACTTTACAGGAATGCATTACAAAAATCCCCTACTCTTCTCTTTATTTGTGACTACAAAGAGGTCAATTACTATATATTTATAATAATGATACCATTGCTAATAATGTAGATAGAAGTAGTTATTTTAAATGCTTGGAACAAACCTGAATTAATGCTATGAAGATCTCTGTTTCTGATTGGTTCCTATGCTCATTTAATTGTCATTTCCTTTTTTTTTAGTTATTTCTGTATGGTGATTTGAAAGAAAGCTGAGAAAGAATGAAGAAAAAAAGTATTGCTGTGATACAGAAATACAGTGTGTCAACTCTCATTCTGTTTCCAGTGCTTTGAGAGAGTTAGTAGACCTGCTCAGGTTATTTCTATCTCAGTTTTGAAAGATAGAGACTGACAGGTGTAGGAACAATACTGATCTGGAGAGGCATAGCTACCAAAGAGTATCATCATCCAGAAATATTCTCCAGCATGGCTTATTAATAATTGGCAGTGTCTTGTTTGCATTTTTTCCACTTCAGAGTCTCTTTTTAGGGTGTGCAAAATGAAGTACAGTGATAATTTCTGTATAGGTAGGCCTCTTTCTCCTCTGTCTGCAGTGTGATGCCAGGGTTTCATTCCTGCACAGTGATTCTGGGTGCCTAACATGGCTATTGTGCACTATTTCAACAGCTCTGATTAAAGGTATAGACCCTACTTCAGCCCAGCTCTGAGGTCTGCTAGTATCTTGCAGAGGAACGTTACGAGTGTGTTAGGTACCTCATCCATAGAGCGTGAGTCTCTTGTGCTAGGGAGCCGCAATCAAGAGAGGTCTCTTTGGGACAGCTGACCACCATCGAGCTCACATTTGACTGGTTTAATTTTAGGAAGTGGTCTGCAGTGCCATGTGGGAACAGAGCTCTTCGCATGAGTGGTCTATTGATCCCTGTGAACATATATTGATGCATTTGTTTACATAATTACGATGAAGGTGACTAGCCAGACGAATGTGATGGATTCAATTATATAACAATGTGTGTAATGTGATTAAAGACTTTGGAATGTTCTTGGAAGTTAAAAAGGTGAAACAGTTACATGTTGCAGTACAGGTTTGTTAGGTCTGTCATTGTCTGTTCCCTTAAGGGTGACATGTTTCTTTTAAGATCTTTTGTTTTTCATTCTTTTGGTTAATGACCCTACACACAAAAGTCTCAACATTCCAGATCTTTATTTCAACTTGTAGCTCGTTATTCTACACAGAAGGTGGAGAGGAATATAATTTTTTATGCTTAAAGAGGTGCTTCTAAGTTTTTATTTTAACATAAAATGTTTGAACTGAGAGGAACAGAGACTGGGGTCTAGAATTTTCTCTATTTGTGTAGTTGAGTACTGTGTGTATCACATCACTGACTCCTGCTACAGTGTTCTCCAGCTCTGGCTCTGGTTTTGGCATAGCCACCTAAATTTCATCTGTATTGTCTTATACCTCTGCCCTGAAGATCCTTTTCATTGTTTCTTACCCACATGCAATAAAATACAGATGCTTAAATTAATGAAGTTTAGGTACCAGCAAATTTCCTAGAGGTGATATTCACAGATTTTCATTAGGAGATTTAACTCTCCAATCTCTTTTAAAAAGTGTTTAAAAATATTGTCAGAGTAATGAAATAAGTTTTTTTAAGACTTGCCTGACTTTCCACACCATCACCACCCTGTCTCTGACTCAGTCCTTTAGAGAAACAATAAATTTTAAGGCCATGGAGCAAGTCCACCTTTGGCACAAGTTGACACAGTCCCATTGTTGGTCCCACTTACACAGCACAGACTATTGCCAAGCACACTTGTAATAAAACCTATCGGGAAATCTGTCTCTGCCATTGTAGTCTTATTCTGCCAGATAGGGTGTTTTTGTCCAGCTTACTCAAACAACAAAACAGTGCTTTCTAGTTTGTAATTTGATCATTTAAATCCCATTTAAACTAACAAAAAAAGTATTTTCAAAGAGAGTCTTTTCAGGAGGGGATAAGATTCATTCATGTACTGCATTTTCCACAAGAGCAAGTGTTCAAATGGGCTGTTATGTAAAGAAGCTGCTGCTATTATTGAAGGGGAGTGTGACAGGGAGAATTCTGGAAAGGATTCGCAATGTATAAATGGCAGCACTTCCTTGTTGTAAAGTTATTTTGGTTGTGTGCCAGTCTGTTACTTGCCATGTTTTCAAGTTTCTGCAAGGTACTGAACTAGAATTAAATGCTTATGGCTATTAAATGAAGCAATAGGCCTCTAAATTTTTTTAAGTGCAACAGAATCAGCTGTTGTTTAATAAAATGAGTCTGACAATGGTATAAAAATGCTTTAGAAACTTCAAAAAAAGCACTCTTTAAGGACTTTCACAAAACTATTGTCAATAGCAGTTAGTAGAAATAATATATTTTCATTTGAACCAGAATGTTGGTGCCTTGGAGACTGAACTGAAAATAAATTTTGGAGTGCATTCCAACCCCAAATCCTTTATATTTATTGCCTACATAGCATTCATTTCTCTTTTCTTTGTTTTGGATCTTATTGCATAAGAAGGTGGGGCAAGTGGCATGAAGGACGTCAGTGTTCAAAAAGTAAATCAGGTTTTAGTTACTTTTGAGAGTCTTTCCTCGTATGTAATAATTTTTATATTAAAGGAAGTTATTGAAGAATCCAGACTTGCTGCAGTCATTGTACTGTTCTAGTCGAGAAAGAAAACCATAGAAAATGGTTTAGTCAGCTGATCTTCAAAATTGGAGACATCATGTTAGCCCAGTGACTAAGAAATGGAAGAAGAGTGCTATTGTCCTAAATTTCTTGATTAGAAATTGCTATAATTACTCTAGGAGACCTTTGAAATTTTAATTTATGATGGTCCAGATGGTCACAATAATGTCTAGGTTTCAGAGCATGGACAAAATAAGGAGGACCTCAGTGATCTCCACCTGTGTTTTATCTGTAGGCAACAGATAGCTAAAATCTGGCTCTTACTCCAAAATGTCTTATAAAGTTTGTTTCTGTGGAGATTTCAGTGTAAAACCTTTTGTCTCTCTAAAACTTTCCTGAAGTTCTTTTCAGGTTCAAATCTTCATCGTTCCTTTTTGTTCCCCCTTTCCCCTGCAGCATTGTTATTAATGTAATTCAATTAAGCTGTTGATATTAAGTTTCCTGAAAAAAAATTACTTTGTATTTCAATCTAACACTTAGAAATATTAATGAAACATCTGGGTATGGTTGGTCAAAACTGTCCTCTGCCAGGATACTAAATTGGGATAATTAAGTTTCTATTACATTCAGTATGAGCCAAATGTTAATATGTAGCAAGAGGAAATGCTCATATCCTCATAACAGAGGAGCAATACCTAACTTCCATTTTATAATGAGGCAATACATGAAAAAATCCACATTTCATAAAAACTTTACCGCATAGACAATAATACAGGCTTTTCAATGAGATCTGTGAAGCGGAATGGTTTATTTCTGGCTCTAGACAGCTTCCTATAGTTAGGAGCACATGACCCCTCACTTAGACTCAGATTCATCATGATTTGATTTTTAGTTCATAGCCATACATTTTAAAGGACTTGGAATCAACAGCATTTGGGTTCTCTCCTATACATTTTTGAGGCTGTTTTTATGAGAAATTTTCACGTTTGTATGTCTAAATGTTCTTAAAGAGGTCGTCTTCTGAAAAGACA